AGAAATAAAACTATCTACATATTCCAGTCCACGTTACGAATATGGAAATAAAACTATTTACACATTCCAGTCCACATTATGTACATAGAAATAAAACTATCTACATATTCCAGTCCACATTATGCACAATGAAGTGTGAAATACAAAAACAAACTATTTTCAAAATGACAACTGACATTATAAATTTCAAGATAGAAGCCAATACTCTAGGAAGTTAATGTAGTCATAGTTATCACATACTCACATTATTGGTTTTACTTCTACTCATCTGCTTCTGCTTATGTTTTAAATAAAATGATTAACTTACATGCTATATGACCTATGTCCATTTAGACACATATTTGTATAGTATGTTTTTGTATCAAACGCTAAGTTAGTATAATTACCACACAGAAGATTACCTAAGAAAATCAAATTTGTACCCATCAGGAAAAAATAGTTAACTGGGTTTTAGGGTGGTTCTTCTAGCTGTATTGAGGATGTTGAAGTATTAATATTACAAAATAACTCGGATCAATTGGTAAGTTAAACTAATATTTATAAAATGAGCTTTAATTATAGCAAGTGAAAGGTAAGGCAGTTTGAGTTATAATTTTGATCACATGTTTAACAGAAATGGGAACCAACTCAACAGTATGACTAAAGAAATAGGATCTTATCATAGTGGTGAATAGGACATTCAAGTATTCTCTGTTGCTGATACAACAATTGTCAGGATGTATTTGTATACATACAGATTACAAACCAAAATAAGTATAATTTTCGGGATGTATTTGTATACATACAGATTACAAACCAAAATAGGTATAATATTCAGGATGTATTTGTATACATACAAATTACAAACCAAAATACGTATAATATTCAGGATGTATTTGTATACATATAGATTACAAACCCTTAATAAGTATAATATTCAGGATGTATTTGTATACATACAAATTACAAACCAAAATAGGTATAATATTCAGGATGTATTTGTATACATATAGATTACAAACCAAAAATAGGAATAATTTTCAGGATGTATTTGAATACATATAGATTACAAACCAAAAATAGGTATAATATTCAGGATGTATTTGTATACATATAGATTACAAACCAAAAATAAGTGTACTATTCAGGATGTATTTATATACATATAGATTACAAACCAAAATAGGTATAATATTCAGGATGTATTTGTATACATATAGATTACAAACCAAAAATAGGAATAATTTTCAGGATGTATTTGTATGCACAGAGATTACAAACCAAAATAGGTATAATATTCAGGATGTATTTGTATACATATAGGTTACAAACCAAAAATAGGAATAATTTTCTGGATGTATTTGTATGCACAGAGATTACAAACCAAAATAGATAATTACCTCTTTATACAAATCTCTTGTGAGGTTTCAGTTTTCGTCTCCTTAACTAAGA